GGGGGGGGAATGTTTTATTACACTTAAAACAAAGATGCAATGTAATCAATGCAAATATAGTAATCAGTAGAGATGTTCTAATGCAGAACTCTTTACAGTTAGAGAGCAATTAAGGTCTTGTCACAGCACAGTATGCATTACAGCAACACTCTGTATATGTTTTACAAAAATTGTGTAGGGCCTGTTTTTCTGTGGATTCAAAGCACATTCAAAATAAGCTGCCTAACGCAATGCATCTCAATGTTTGAAAATGCATGTGTTGTAGTGCATGGTGACATGTGCTGTGCATTCCTCTGATTTATCTTTCTGTAATTGGTATCCTATAATCACAGACTTGTGATGCTTGTTGTTACTACAGCCATGTAAAAGAAGAATAAACTAAAACAGATGTGAGGGGAACACTGCGGGCATATTTATAAAGCAGTCAATGTGACTTTCACAGAACATTTCCTGGTGGTAAATCAATCACTGTCATTTAAAATACATGCTCCAGGAAGATTCAGTGACTGTCAGGCTCGCTGCTTTATAAATCTACCTCTTGTAGTATAGCCAAATCCCAAACATTTTTTTTTCCCCATTTTGGATAGAGTGGAAAGCAACTGAAAATGTTATATTTCCTCTCACCATTTCATTGGTGATTAGAACAGTTAGTGTGAATGTTCCTACCCAAGACAGCAATACATACCTGACAAGGGTTCTGACCCCATCACCACTCTATCCACATGTAAAGTTATGTCTTTAATTCCACTTTATGGTCCTCTTGTTCTAGACCTCTCTAAATATACTGGGCTTAAAAAGAACATTCTGCATGTGTTCTGACATTGCTGGAGACTTTTACCATAGGTAGCATTTGGGTCAATGATTAATTTTATATTTTCTCATTTATACCATGCCAAAGATTACAGTTGCGATTATAAATTGTAATGTAAATGGCAGTTTCAAGCAACAAGTGAAACCAATGATCTGTTAATGCTAGAAGAGTCATTTTACCTGTGTTTTCTGTAGCCAATTGTCCAAAGCCCCTCACACTTTTACAGGGAGGACACTTGTGGAAACTTGAAACCTCTTCCTGATGCATCACCAGCCACATTGAAGTTTCTGCAGCAGAACTCAATCTGGTGGTTATTAGAAAGATCTTGGTACTCCCTTTTTAGGTCACACAAAGCTTTTTTTAAGGAGTCAGCAGAAAGCAGAGTACCTACCTTGGGGGTGTTTGGTAATACATTTTCTGCTTTAGTTTTGTTGGTCACTAGAGAGCAGACCTTGAACTCCAGACATGTGACTTTGCCAGGTCTAAATATCTTTTCTCCAAATGATCGG